AAAAATCATCAAACAATGCAAAAATAGGAAAAAGGTTAAAAACATCCTTTCTTTTTCTTTTTTCTTTTTGGGTATTCACTTCAGCTCTTTATACATAAGTCGAAAAATATGAAAAGAAATTTAAATAAAAAGAAATATTTGGGATCAGATGATTCTGCAAAAGAAATCTAGTACTAACAGAAAAAGAGAGAAGTTGTTACTAGTAAACTACTAGATTTCTCTGTGATAAACAATCTTTGTCTAACAAACAAGAAACAAAAATTAATCATACCCCATTTCCCAAGAAAAAAATTAAAAGGAAAATCTGATATCACTCTTTCCAAAATCCAACAAAAAATTAAAAAAAAATTGGACAAACCTGAGTGAGCAAAGCAAGTTGTTCAACACCAAAAGATCTAGCGGCAGAGAGAGTGTCAAGAGCAAGATCAACGGCTGAGGTGCAATGTGTATGCCAACAACCTCTTTCCCCACAATTAGGCCTTGGCTCATGTTTTTGTGGCACAATTGAGACTTGTCCACTGTACAAAAACTGCAACATCAACAAGAATACCTCATACCCTACTGAGTTTACTGGTATCACTGAACCCGAACCCGAACCCCTCGGTGATGATACACCGCCGACGGGTCCCATTCTTGACCCGGTTGGGTCAAGTTGTTGTGGGCCAGACCGAGGTGAGTCTGGCCCACAAAAGAATTTTCTGAAGAAATGACTCCTTGCAGCTAAGATGCATCTATGAGCATGAACTAAACGACCTTCAACACTAAAAGCAACATCACTAAAAGCTTGTCCATTTATGAGAAGATTTAGATAATCTAAAGACAGACTTCTTAAGTTGTCTTCAGGAGTACTACTCATATTCTCAACAAAACTCAAAAGTGGTACAAAAAGAAAAATAAAGAAACACTATGTGACTAGAATTTTGTTGTGTATAGTTTTAACTACTGTTGGGATGATGAAGTACTCACAATGTTATTTCTTGTGAGATTCTGTCTATGGTTGGTGTTTTATGTTGTGTTGTGTGGTTAGATAATGAGAGAGAGAGAGAGAGAGAGGGGG